GTGGGTGGGTGGGGGTGGGTGGGGGGAGTGGTGGGTGGGGTTTGGTGGGTTTGGTGGGTGTGGGTGGGTGGGTGGTGGGTGTGGGTGTGGGTGGGTGGGTGGGTGGGTGGGTGGGTGGGGCGTGTGAAAGTGTGGATGGGGTGGGTTGTGGCAACGATAGGAGGTGTCGGTCAGTTGTGGGTTGTGGCAATGATGAGATGCGAGCGACACTGTGGGTGGGTTTGGTGGAGCAATGGAAGTGAGTTCTGCCGAGATCGACTCTGCAGGAAATTTTTTTAAGCTTGTGATGGAAGAGGATTTTGCGGAGATTTCGATTCTGTGTGAGATTTTCGGTTCGAAGCGAGTCTCGCCGCTTGCCAGAAAACGCTATGGCCCGAACCGCTGCAATTGCAGCTCGCTGGAGTGGTGGACGCATCACAACGGGAGCTGCAGGCAGAGATGGCAGAGTGCGCGATTTCCCGAAAGCCAAGTCAGCTCCGCGACTTTTGAAAAGGCGGCAGCCAGGTGCGCGAGCTGAAGATGAAGGGGACGCAGCTTCTTCGTCGACTCCTGCACCTGTACCTGTCAAGAAGCACCTGCTGAAGCCAAAGTACACCAGAGACAGAAGTCCAAACCAAGTACGAGGTCGAACGGCAACCCTTTCCAGGTCTTCTTTGTCTACACGGTTTTCTTTGGATGGAGTTCTGACTTCGTCTCCTTGCGAGCTCACGGACATTGCAATCGACCTTGGGATCCTCAAAACTCGGTTTGGAACACAGTGTCAATGCGGCAAAGAAGCTTGGAAGCTTGAAGAGCGCAGCCACTACTGCAACTGGCGTTGCACCAAGTGCAGAAAGACCATCAGTGTGACCGCTGGAGACAATGATCTGTTCTCGCTAAGGATTGATCTTCGCAGTTCCCTTGGTGCTTTGTGGGTCTTTTGTACTCCTCTTCACTTGTCTCCAGACAAAACTGGCCTCATTCTTGGACTTGATCACCGCTCCACACGGACCTTGTTTGACAAATTTCGCAAGTTTCTCACGCCTGTTGTTGAAAGGTTGAACGAAACTTTGCACTTGGGTGGTTTTGGTTCTGATGTCGAGCTGGACGAAATTTCATTTCGCAGCAAAACTGTCGGCGAGCGCGTGATCTGGATTCGCTACTTGGCCATCGCGCGAAGGGGAAGTCCAAAGATTTGGATTTCGCCATTGCCTTACCGAATCACGGAGGGTGGACAAGGTGGTGGTGGACGTATCTCCGTGGAAGAGCTGCAAGGTGCCATGTGGGCACAAAATGGTGAATCTCGGATCTGCGAAGGTTCGGTCTGCCATTCAGACGGTGCTCGCACTTACAAGCAGTTGGGTGTCATGGAAAGTCCACTGTTGGACACAAGCGTCTTCCACCACGTCTTTGGTTCCTTGAAGTTGGCTCACACCGCCGTCAAGCACAAGCCTCCAAAGCCGGAGTTCGCCGAGACTTTCAACGTGAAGGTTTGGAACGGCCGTGGATGGGTGATGGAGCAGCGGCAAGGCGGCACCCAAAAGTTGGACGGTTTTTCCGCCAGCTTCAGACGTGAAGTTGGTCGAAAACCATTCAGCACAGCGGGACCAAGCTTGACAAGGCCCGAGAACTTGGAGCAGCACTTGCATGAGCGTATGCGGTGCTTCCAATTGTCGTATTGGTTGAGCGGAAGCGACTTGTTTCAAGTTTTCGGTGCTTTGCGAAAGGCCGAGCTGGAAGGCGGAGCCTCTTGGCAGACTTCGGCACCGTTTTTGCAGGACCAGAACAGGCAAGACGCCGTCGAATCCATTGATAGTGGTTCCGACGACGCACGGCCACTTTTCCTCAGCTAGCTTGTTTCGGGCTGGCTTTTCATCGTTTGCCAAACCGCAAGACGACTTGCGCCTTTTTGCGAGCGGTTCATGCTTTTGCAAAGCTTTTCTAAAGACAGAGCGTTGTTTTGTGTCTTGAGTGCGTGTGTGAACATGTGCTTTGACGGATAGGAAAAAGCAAAAAAAAGGTTCTTGGCTTCAAAATCGTCTGGGCCCGAGAAAATAACAGACGCGGTTTTGGGAGGTCTGGGCCCGAAGTGAAAGTAACAGACGCGGTTTTGGGAGGTCTGCGCCCGAAGTGAAAGTAGCAGACGCGGTTTCGGGAGGTTTGGGCCCGAAGTGAAAGTAACAGACGCGGTTTTGGGAGGTCTGGGCCCGAAGTGAAAGTAACAGACGCGGTTTTGGGAGGTCTGGGCCCGAAGTGAAAGTAGCAGACGCGGTTT